AGAGAGAGAGTTGCAAAATTAGGGGTGTGGAGAGAAAGATAGAAAGAGAGAGAGAGTTGCAGAATTAGGAGTGTGGAGAAAGTGAGGTGCAAAATTAGGGGTGTGGAGAAAGTTAGTTGCAAAATTAGGGGTGTGGAGATGGTGTTGCAAAATTAGGGATGTGGAGAGAGGGGGTTGCAGAAGTAACTGTGTGGAGGGAGGGGCGCAAAATAGTGGCGTGGGAGTGCAAAATTAGTGGTGTAAAAAAGAGGGTTGCAAAATTTGGTGGTGTGGAGATGGTGTTGCAAAATTAGGGCGTGGAGAGAGGGAGTTGCAACATTAGTGGTGTGGAGAGAGGGTTGCAAAATCAGTGGTGTGAATAGAGAGGGGTACAAAACCAGTAGTGTGAAGAGAGGGTTGCAAAATTAGTGGTATGGAGGGAGGGGTGCAAAATTAGTGGTGTGGAGAGAAAGAGAGAAAGAGAGAGAGAGAGAGGGTTGGAAAATTAGTGATGTAAAGAGAGAGATATGGTTGCAAATTAGTGGCAGCCCACCGGTGGCCAAGTGATTCCGTTTCTTGAACACCGGGAATTCGGTCATGGTTTTGCGCCTCGCCAGGACGGACTGGCCAGGTAAGTTTTCCGGGTTTTTTCCACGTTTGTAAAGCCTGAATTACCCTTAAAAAGATCTTCTGGAAAGCATCCCCCTAGGCAGCTCTTTCAAGTGTTGCGTTGTCGTAATTTAACAAAAAAAAAACAAACAAACAACAAAATTAGTAGCTGTAAAGTGAGGGTTGCAGAATTAGCGGCCATAAAGAAAGAGACTGCAAAGATAACAGCACTACAGTGGTGGGTATTGCTGTATTTGATAGTAGTTTTTGAGAAAATTAATTTTTTATAAACTACTTCGTAAAATATAAAATGCATTTTTTGAAAAAAATCAAATTAAATTTCCAAAAATACAAATCTAAAATTCAAATTTTATTCTACTTTCAAAAATAATGGATATAAGTAGACATTTGTAAAGTTTTTCAATTACAGTTTTAGTAGATGACGATAGAAATTTTTCAAATTAAAATAAGATTTTATTATTATTTTTTTCTCATTTAAAATCTAATAAATTCTGTATTTTTATNTAACGAACAATTCGGATAGCTAACAAAGTCTTGAAATGGATTATGTTCGTTAACTGATCACCCACTGTATAAAATTATAATATGCAATATGAATTATAGTAGATATAAGCAGAATTTATTCATAAAACATGGATAATTTATTCATACTTTCAGATATGTGCTGATGTAATAATAAAGAAATCTTACAAAGCAAAATATTATTAGAAACATTTTCTTCAGTGAAAATATTATATATTATTGCTTATTTTCTACACTAATGATGATTGCATCAGCAGAAATCTTTTGAAAGAAGACAAATAAACAAAAGTCATTAAGTAATTATATTTTCTTTTTATTAAATTTATTGCTGAATGGATAATAGCTGTTCAGTATTAAATATGAATTGGATTTTATTCTTATAGAAAGTAATGATTATGACAAAACTTCAAAATCATTATACACTTACTTCACTTTATACGTGATCTTGTATTACATTTGGATGAGGAAGTCACCTATTAATAGAAAAGTAATTGAAGTAAGTATTGTGATCTGTTTTACAATCCATTAAGTCTTTTATTGAAATTAAATTAAAATACAATGGTTGGTGCAGATTTAAAATTTTTAATTTGCCACAAAAGACTTGCATTCATCACATTTTTTAAGATTCCCTGCAATGCAAGAGATCTGTTTTTTAAGGTGTTCTCTAAGATCTCTAAGGTAAAATTATCTTCCTGTCTTTTGATATTTATGTCAGCCAAGTTTTTTAATCACTTAAATGCAATGAAAAATAATTTTAATTATTGATCTGAAATAAACAAAATTATTTTGATTATTATTACTTATTTTATAGAAAAACTTGATTCAGTTACTATAAATTTGATTATTTTATTTGTTAATTATAAATTTATAATAGTTAATTGTGATAAATAAATTTATAATTTCCTTTTTAAAAAATCAAAGCTTTACAAAGTATTTTTATTGTTACTTAATTGTGTGTTTGATTAAATCTATTATTTCTAATATACATGTAGTAGACTTGCATCTGGCTTAATGTGGTGAATGGACAGCTAAGTCAGATAAGGAGAAAGCAGATAACATGAAATTGAAGATAAGGCATTTCCTGTATAGTCAAGCATGTCGGTGCATTCCATATGTGGTTTATTTGACAGCTGTAATTTTTATGGTCATGAGATAATGTTTTAATATAAAATTTCAGCAAAAGTAAGCCAGTAAAATACCTGCAATTACCATGATACTTTATCCATTGTACATTATCCATAATGATACATTATACATGATACATTATCCATGTAATAACTGTGTTTTATGTAGATGTTTATACAACACATTATTAATATTATTATTTATTATAAGTAATAAATAAACACAACTTATGTATATGATGAAGTTATCGTGTATAGTTGCAACAGTTTCATCCCGCGTAAAGTTGTAGGAAAAGAAATTTATAATTTATGTTCATTATATCATCAGAATCAACGAAAGAATTCCAGTTGTGTAACTTTCCCAGCCAAACTTTAAAATAGTGCGTAGCGCCATCTGTTTGAATTTTTTTTAAATTTTATATTATTAATTACTATAAAATGGCATAAAGCTTAATTTTCGGATCGAGACGAGTTTTTAAAACTATTGTAAATGTTAAGAACGAGTAAAATCTCAATTAAGTCCGATCTCACTCGAGATATGACCCATGACCCCCTTCTATCTCCCCATCTCCTTGACCTTTAACCACCAAAATTTAATGGTATCAAGTCCCTAATACGCAAACCTCCCTGCAAAATTTTCAGAAATTTTTAAAGGTTAAACTTTAACAAAATTGGGTGAAAGAAATCGTGGTCCCACCACACACACATACACATTCGTGCGTACAGAAAAACCCTCATTTTTCTCCATACTTTACCTCTGTTATATATAACAGCCTGGGAGGTAAAGGAGGTCCTAATTGTAAAATTTAGAGAGTTAATTTATGTACTTTCAAGTGAATAAAGAAGTATGATAGAAGGCCTAGAGCGTTCTGGCATCATCCTCTCGAATTAGAAGGTGATGCCAGAACGTTCTAGGCCTTCTAGGCCTTTTATCCTTATGTTCCAGGTGACTTTTCGTACTCCCGATTCTGATTATTACCCAGTTTACCCAGCATACCCAGTTTAATACCATACTAAAATCTCAATTTATCTAGTACTTTAATTAATAAAGTATAAATAAGTAGAATTACTAAACTATTAATTATATTTACCATAATGTTTGAAAAATTATTTAATTTATACACTTTATGCCAATTAATTGTTCATAACAGAATGTAAAATTTTATTGATTATTATTATGCACTTACAATATCCTTGATAAACGATCTTCATTGCTTGATTACCCTCATTTAAAACTTCTAATTGTCGTTAATGAAGTTAATTAATCTCTGTAATTAATATAGATTTTCGTTAAAATATTAAAAATGTGGAGAAAATTGGATCCAAATTTTGCTATTTCGTAAGAAAAATTAATTAAGATGCTTGATTATTAATAATCTCTAGAGTTATTAATTAAATAGAAAATGATCAAGTGTTCATTTATTAATAAAATAAATAATCAAAATTTAATGTAGTTAAAGAAATGTGAGTATACCTGGGGCATTGTGTAAATTGAAATTTTGACCCCACTCTCTATTGTCCTTGCCAAATATAGAAAGTAATGTTGCACATGGCTGGATAACCATGAGTTTAGGATGGCAGACAATCCCTCTGGGGATCCTAGAATCCAGATAAATCAAAAAACTCCAGAATATTCTGGTTATGTCAGATCCCAGTTAGCAAGCCCATTAGGGGTTCTGCCAGTTAGCAAGCCCATTATAACCCCAATGGTGGTTCATCACCATTGTGGACCTGGAAGAACTTATAATGGGCTTACTAAAAAGACCCTCTTACTGCCCACAAGGCAGAAAGAGTTGTAAAAAAATGCAGTGATGGTCTGAGCCTGCTGCTTGGGGGAATCCGGGATCGAATCCGGCGATGGAAAATCCGTGTATTTTTCGTGGCGGTCTGTCCGGGATATGCCCATTCCTCGCCATTTTGCGCCTGGTGTAACGCCCGATGGGCATGAAAAGGCCCTCTAAAAAGTTCGTGTGCAAAATATTACAAAAGAAATTCTAATACTGTATTAGAATTTTAAAAAATTACCGGTATTATCAATAAATACTACGATTTATACTAGAAATCCTTAGCTATGAAATTTTATACATCTGTACAAATACAAAAAACTAATAACAATTTTATCAAATAATTGGTTTTTTAAGTGTAAGATAAAATTTCTTCTTCTGATTACTATTTTTTTTAACTTTGGAATCTTATTAAGATCACATTACTAAACTTTAATTGCTTAAAATGTTATATAATAACAATTGTATAATACATACCTTCGGTTAGTTTATTCACAATAAGTAGGCTTGTAAGAATCCGTATGCCACAAATTCCACTAAAAATATCTACGTAAACAATGCCTGAAAATCTACCATAATGTACTTTTTGCGGCGATACTTCCTCCCCCTAAAACTGTACCCAGAGACGACTCGATATTGTTCTTATCTAGTGGATTGACCCGAAAGACTATTAATTAACCGTTGTACGCTGTCTTCATTATTCGATATACCAATTACGATAACAATTCATTTTCACAAAAAGACACGGTTAACGGACTTTTAGACCACCCTTTATATGTCAAATATTTCAAACAAGCTCCATTGTGAAGAGTATAAAAAGCGTGTTATTTATCACACCATTCCCAGAATGGCATATAAAATAATTATAATTTCGGTGAAATTTTAATGTTAATTTAATCTTACTTCTCTGAAACGATGCTTTGTTTGTCTGTCCGTTCTATCACTACATCTGTGTGATCGATTTTCGCGGATTTCCATTCTTCCATTACTAATCGATTCTACATATAGACCGGAGTTATATAATGCTACAGCATACATAACTCCATTAGTGCAGTTTCAATAGTAAATTCTGTTTAAAAAAAAACAACCTAAAATGCTTAATTGGATATACTAAATTTCCATAGAGAGATTTCAAGAAGAGTATCATCAGCATCAAATATTTATCAATGTAATCTCTTGTTACAAGAATAAATAAATGTACAAGAATACAACAATTTAAAGGTAATTATAATTTAACTTAATAGTAAATATATTGTTAAAGCATATTACATGTATTTAAATTAAGTAGATTATTAAGTAATTATAGAAGACAGGCAATTAGATTACTGTAACACATGACAAGCCTATCAACCCGTAGCTCGTGACTCCTATAAACATTGTTTTACAGCTATTAAAGCCTTTAAAAACAATAAAATATATATATAAATAACCGAGAAAAGGTTGGGGAATGTGTTAAATAATTGTAAATAAAAAGTATTTCTGTAAAGTTTTAAAATTTTTAAATTAATAACTTCAAATTTTTTGATGCTTTCCTACTGAAATAGTGTAAACACATCTAATTTTACTGTGTTTACTCCATAATTTATTTGCAGAAAAAGATTAAATAACATTAAAATTTAATTCTTTCACTTGTGTAATGAAATAAAAACATAAATTGTCTAACTACTCTGTCATAAAATCAAGATTAATGTGTCATATAATTGAATTTATATAAGATAAATCACACAAAATATTTAATTATCCAATTTCAGACTCGTTTCTAGTTTAAAAGGCCCAAATTTTGTTAAGTTAACAAGAAAAATTCACTGAAAAAAAAATTCATAAACAATTACCGAAACTTTGAACCTCTTCAGACCATCTTGCAGGAGGCCTTTCATAACTAGTCCAACTAGCATGCCAAATATACCAGGCCCCATTAAGAGGCCTGGCATATCCCTAAGAAAGCCTGGAATATCCGGACTAAACATCTACGAGAATCCGGCATGGACACGATTCCAGATCCCTCAGAGCAGCGAACTTCATAGGGATTTCAGTTTATGCAGGTTTGGTGTATTCGGTTACACGTGGGAGATCTTCAAAATTGGGTGTTTGTAACACCTAAATAAGGGCAAAACTCGTCCTTATTTAGGTGTTACAAATGTGAAAAGAACACGGAAAACTCCACGTGGACAGCTCATTGGCCAGGCACGAACCAGCGAACACGTGGCCTCCGTTTATGTAAAATACCGTATATTTATCGATTATCTTAAATTATAAGAAAATGTATTATTAATTTAATTAAAAAAATACATTTTTTAATCCATAAAATTGTATCAGAAAGTGTTTCTTTCTAGACTTTATAGATAATCATCAGATCACCCTATCTAAAAATTGAACCATTCTAACTTAAACTATCCACGAAATATAATTTTATCAGCAATAAAAACAACGTAAAATAAATGAAAACTTACAAAATAATTTTTTTAGATAATAAAAAATAAAATTCTTCTTCAATAAACTAAGAATAATTAACTTTTTGATATCGTTTTCTGATTATAAACTCCAATAAAAATAGCAAAAAATCATTTTTTTTAATCATTAAATTTTATATTTTATGTAATTATTAAATTATTAAATATATTTTTTAATTNTAGTTTTTGTGGAATGTATTAAATATATTTTTTAATTATAAATAATATTTTAGAGAGACTTTCATAAAGTTTTGATAATTTCAGAAGCATTTTTTTGTTACTCTTGAAACTTAATTTTGAAGATAAAAATGGTCCTAAAAAAATAAAAATTGAAGAAGTTTATTAGAAATGTTGTATAAAATATTACAGTTTCTTATAAAATATTATTTTTTTTAGTAATAATAATCTTGTACAATTATAATCTTTCATTCAGAATTCCTCATTTTAAAGTACAGCAAGGAGTTGCATAACTTTACCGGCAAAAGAATTTAAAATTGCTTGTGGCTCCATCTGTTATGAGATTTTTTTAAATTAACAACTTTTTATATTATTAATTATTATAAATGGCCAAAAACTTAATTTTCGGATTAAAGTTCTATAAAACAAAATTGTAATCGAGTAAAATCTTCATTAAGTCTGACACTACGCGAGATAAGACAATGACACAACTCTTTCTCTCTCTCTCCACCACCAAAATTAAAAGTTAAAAATATGGTTCCTATAAAGTGTATATTTTTACATCTTCAGTTGTTCGAGAAATTCAAAACAATTCGAGGGTTTTTTTTCTGTAAGTATGAATGTTAGCGTGTGTGTCTGGAGGTGGCACGATTGTGTTCCTCCTGTTTGAAACTTAATAACTCCCGTGCCTTTAGTCGAAAATTTCTGAAATTTTGCAGGAAGGTGTGGGTATTAGT